CCCAACAAATCCAAAGAAAACACACACACACACACGTGTCTTTTTTCAGGGTACCCTTCAAATGGCTCAAAAGGGAAATAAAAGGGAACCCCATTTTGAGGCATCTGTTCAGATGTTTCCAAGGTCCAGCTGGCCTTGCCAGGGATCCTCCTTGCTCTTCTGCAGTTGCCCCCGTGGCCGCGCCAGCGGGGTGCCAGACACCACCACGCTGCTGGCACGGCCGTGGTAGCCCACTGGCAGGTGAAGCCAGTTGGGCTGCAGGGCGTTGTCCTTACATTGCAACTAAGACCTCCGTCTTTGGCAACCTGTGCAAGCAACAAGGCAGCCTGGGATTCAGTCCGAACTACCTCAACCGCACATATACACCCAAATATTTAAATCGGTCAACTGGTATTCATTCTGTACCTCCGGGACCGACTGGCCAGGCCTGGCCACCTTAATTTAAGCTCTACCTCCGGCTCGGCCCGCCTCCCACATATTTGTTGGCAGGCACCTTATGTGTGGCATCTAGAGCTGCGTCCGTGTCAATGAATTCGTGATTCCTCTGAAATTGATAAGACTAGACGACTGCCAGGATTTGTGCGGCGAAAGTCCATGTGGATTTGTGCGGCCAAGCGTCCTTCCCTCTGAACATGATGCCTCGGCAGTGGTATGCAGAAGCTCTGAAACCTCTCAATTCTCAAAATCTTCCCCACTTCTGCATCTAAAGTGAAGCGACAAACATAGCGAAAACTCACGATTCAGCAAAGTGGCCGACATTGGTCGCGTGTTCCCGAGAGGAATAGAAATCCTCAGGTCAAAAGTCAGGTTCAGGTGCACATGCAACAAACCACAACGCCGGGTACTGCGAGCGAGTCGAACCGTGAGATGGAAGACCTGCCAAGCATCTGTGTAGTCGCCGATTTTGGCAGGGAGGTGCATCTTCACTTCCTCCATCAGAATGCCACGCACAAACACTCGCACATGCCTAAGCAAATTGCTGCAAATCACCCGGTTTAACACCACAAAAATCATCCATGAGAAAAATGCGATTGGCCAATGGGCCAGTGCTGGCATTTCCTTGGCTTGTTCTGGAGGCCGCTGCTGACCAAAGCGAGTAATCATGACCTTGAAGGCTTGTCATGTATGACAACATTCGCCTTCCGTGATGTTTGACATTCTGCAGGATGATGTTAGAGTGATCTCTGCATACTAATTAGGTGGGTGACGTCCGCCTGATGTGTCTCCTTCTCAACAACGGCTCCGCAAGTAGCGAGTTTGCTGGGACCCTACGATTGCCTGCCGTTGCAGGCTGTTGCAGGTCTTCCCCCCTCTCCCCCCCCCCCGCCCCGAAACCCGAAACCCTCCCCCCCACCCCGAAACCCGAAACCACCCCCATCCTAAACTGTGAGTTGTAAATCTTTGCCCCCCCCAAAAAACTACACCGGCATGGGCCCCAAATAGCAAAAACGCCAGCACCCCAAAACAGCACCTGCACCAGCACCCCAAACTGCACGCCCCTAGCACCCATGCGGTCAATCTCGCAAAATGCCCGCGCTGTTGCCCCGAACAGCACAACCACCAATCTCGCAAAAATACGTCCGCAACGTCACCAGCGCCTCAAACAGCACCCCAAAACAGCACCTGAAGCACGCGCTCACCCTGCCATCAATCATGCATAAGTTGCAAGCGAAATTACACTTGGGTGCATAACTGGTACCAATTGCCGCAATTACAGAATTCAAAGGCATCTCTGACCAAGACATCGTAAGTTTGACGCATCTGGCAGCCATGTCCAACAGCAACTCCACCAACACACGCTCCAGAAAACAAGACACTAATCCCTTCTTCCTATTAATCAACCTACCCCTAATAATAAAACTCGCCCGAGCCGCGACAAAAAATCGGCAATACTAAATTCAATTGACCAATACTAAACCTACACTAAACTCCTGACACTACACATGCTTTCCACCGAGCTCCCAAAATATGCTTATTAAGGGTCCCCCTCCTGAGTGTGTTGAAACAAGAAGGCTCCACGTTCTCTTCGACACCCAAGGGTTGCCTTGTGTGACAAGGTTTTGTTATTAGGGGAACTAGGGGTCTATCAAACCAGGAACAGCCTAATTACGGGTTCTTGCGGAGTCCTCAAATCAAAGGGGTTCCTCCAAACACATTACTATTAGGATCTGCCTGTGCTGTGAGCAAAGCGAGCTGCTCTGCATGGGCTGTCTAGCTGATCAAACGCACTTTCTCTCAAGCTGGCTGACTCGCTAACCCTTCCAACCAAGTTTTATTCTTAGGGTGTGTTCGCCCAACAACCTGAAACAGGCAATTTGTTTTATGAAACGGACCATGGGACACTCCCTTTCAAAGTTCTTACTTAAAAGTTGCAATCTGAGCATGTGTTGCTCCAAGTCAAAGGGAGTCCACTTTCCAATGCAAGTCCAATAGTAAATAGCAACCAACCAAAAAACACATCCCCAAGAAAGTTCTATTATTAGGGTATGTGTTCCAAACAACTCAACACAAGCAAATATGTTTTATGAAGCTGACCATGAGACACTCCCTTTCGAAGTTCTTACTTAAAAGTTGCAATCTGAGAAGTGTTTGCTCCAAATCAAAGGAGATTAACTTTCCAATACACGTCCAATACTAAACAGCAAACTATCAACTGGATCTAGGCCCAAACCGGCGACCCCTACTAATAAAACTCCACCAGGTGTTCTGTGTTTTTTGTTGTTGTTGCTTTTTTGGGGGGGTTTAATTAGGGAGAAGTTCGGAAGAAGCGATTAATGCTCTTTCGAAGTCTCATAAATGAAGCACAAACGTGAAAACGGCACCTTGTCACTTGAATGATACCAGCATGGACAGGCAGAACGGCAGAACCCACAAATATACGTGCCAAACTCGGCGGACCTCCAAAATGGTGCCTTGGAACCATAAGAGGATACCTTCAAACACACACACACAGACACACAGACACACACACACACAGGATGGCTTGCATGGATTTTATTTGAGCTGCATGGACTTGCCAATGCCTGGGCCTGTGGAAGCACACACATACACAGGACCACCCGAAAATACAGCGCTCGCCTGCAGCGGCCTCAGCACCGTCTCCCGCAGGTCAGACCTCCGCAGCCTCTCGTCACCCTCTGAGAGAAGCTCTGTGAGGCCTCGCTCGTGAGGCTTCCAGTTTGTTGCATAGGGGTGGGATTCTGGTCAAAAATTGTTTGCCCCTCACCACTTTCTAGCTGGAGACTGTTTTCAACATAGGATTTAGAATCGCCAAATTGATCACACTTCAAAACTCAAGGTTCCAAGACGAAGACCCAAGCCCTGCAATTTGAGCAGCTCGACTTACACAAACTGTCTGGGGCCAATACACTCACATCCACAACCTTGCATAACTCTGAGCGCCTTGTGGCTTCCAACTGGGCCAAAGGCGTGACCCGCTGCCACGGGCTAGGTGTCAGGCGTGCGCGGGTGGCACGCCAGGCCGGTCGGGGCAGCGACATGAACCTTGGGATTCGGAAGTCTCAGGCCTATGATGGAGGTGGGTTTTTGAAGATGCGCGTCGACAAAATACCATTCCCAATAAATTTGAAGATGGCAACGAAGGCGAGACACGTTCCTGGTCATGCCGTTCTGAATGCCTATGGACAGCACTTGTCAGCCAAATTGTGGCAAGGCTTATGGATCCCAACTTGGCAGGGGACAACGGCGATGCGCTTATGCGGAATATGTTGCAGAACGCACGGCAAGGCAAGCCCGCCCCGCGTTCACCAGCACCCAGCCAATGAGGACCCCATGAAATCCTAGCCTCGCCCTCTGCTCAGGACCTTGATGAGCCTGTCCCTTGCATGTGCCCGGAACCATGACCTGGTTCATGACCGCTGGGCCATGGCAACCGCACGCGTTGGCCGCCCCCACCCCAGCTGGGAGGTCAAAACTCCTTGCAATTATGGCCTATGGTCATGTCCTTAATAGGATTCATTATTTATAATGGTTGCTAAAGATCCTTACTACCAGGTGGATGACCATCCCTGTGAACCCAAGTAAAGGGGTCTCAGCCACAAGCGTGTGCTTACCCTGATGCTGTGGACCAATTGCATTTCAAGCAAGGGTCACAGTACATTCCTTTGTGGCAAAGGAATGGGACAAATCGAGCGCCAAAGCAAATACTTCAACTCCAAGGTCTGGGGCTCATGGACCCACCCGTACATAAGTGCTCTTTCTGATAGCCATGGAACCGATTGCGACTTCGATCTTGTGATGGCTCAGGTCGTTCTGACGGACTGACCTTTTGCTACGCAACGCCCACATTCCCTCTGCGGTCCCAAGGGCGCATTCAGCGCAGGCTGCCGGAAGACCCGGCGCTCGTCAAAGCCAAGCCCTTGCAGAAAGCCATGCTCCTGCAGCGGTTTGCCAGCGCCAGCCTAAGACCTGGCTTTGCTTTAGAGTCCCTCCAATGTCACTAGAACTCAAACCAAACCACAGCTCCTTTTGCATTGAGATCTCAAGCTCTGGAAACTGGGCCCAAGATCGACAGTGTGATCGTGCTACTTGTCACTCTTCGACAGCTGCGCTTCTGCATCAAGGAAAGAATGATCAGCACCAGACATGGACCAAAAGATCCTTGCTGCAATCAACACTTACAAGACTTGGCCTATTGTGGGTTGAAAGCAAACCAAACCCTCCCAGTGTGCTGTTTGCAAACATCCCCTTGACAGCAATTCCTTGCTATTGGTTGTAAAGAACAACATCTTGGCGGCCCCCAACAAAAATACTCTACCTGTTTGCGCTGAGACGCCAAGTGAATGATGTTGCACTCTGTTTGCTTATCGCCTGCCGTCCCCCCGCCAGCAGCTAAGGGAACTTCGGTTTGCGGCAACCCACGGATCAAAACACCGTTGATTACAGAACTGGGGGAAACTGCCCTGTAATGTCCTGTCAGCTTTACAACTTCTGGTCTACAATTTTGGCATCCTTGAGCATCTTCGCCGGGCCACCAAAAGGGACACAGGAAACGCGGCGCCAATAGTTTGGTTTTCCTAGATTCCTTCTAACACATGGATTCTATGCCACATAATTTGTCCTGCGCAAGCTTTTTTGGATATCAAAAATCGCCGAGGTGCTGCCAGCAGGGCGAGGTCCAGCGCATAGTGGCCGATGGCTGTGGCGCAGCGGGGGCCTCGCTGACTGCAGGAGAAGACCTGAGATCTCAACCGACTCGCCGCTGAACTTCACTGGTTGTTTCAACACATACGTTCGTGTCCATTTAACACTTTGGGGTAGAAGCTGCAGGTTGCCTAAGAATGGTTGCTTTGGGCGTGTGCACCAGGGTGACACATCTTATGCGGTTGCAAGGCATTGCCAGTGGACTCCCAGCAGGCCAGGTTTGCCTTTGCCGCAGCTTCGCGGCCGAGTCACGCCGAAGGGCAGGTTCTGCAGGGGGAAGTCGCACTGAGCATCGTACTCCTCAGCAAACAGCATCCCTGCAGAACGCAAATTCAAAATCGGAGCAAGTTGGTGAGAAGTCGAAGCTTTTAGGGTGAGTGTGGCCTGAAAGCAAACACCTAATCACAAGTCCAGCTTGGATTCAGTGTTTGTGCTTGTGTCTGTGTTTGTGTGTTGTGTGTTTGCGTGTTTGTATCTCTGTGTGTCTCTCTCTCTCTCTCTCTCTCTGTGTTTGCGTCCAGGATCGCACACGTCCAAATGTATGGGTTCACATGCTTCATACACATGGCTCATGCTTCAAAGAGGTCTGCATTCCGGGATGGCCGGGACAGCAGTTTGCGCAAGATCCCCGCTTCCAATCCGCATGATTTTCCAATTCAGAACCATTGGAAAGGGACACGATGCTTGGCGCAGCCGCGCGTGCCTGCCAATCGCACCCCCACTCCCCAAGGTCTTGGAGCACGCAGGCTCCGTGCGTGCCCTTGTATTCAAATGGCTCGGGATCACTCGGGTTCGCAGGCTGTGCTGGGAGAATCTCCATACGAAAAACACCCGTCACGGAAGAATGGCTGCCATTCCCTGAAGCTAGCAACAAATGCATTCAACTCGTCCAGGGCGCCACCCAAGACCGCGCCGCAAAGGCACGGCCGTGGCAAAGCCGCCGCAAGCCCCGCGCCTCGTGCTCGGCTTCGAGGAGTTTGTATGGACGACACAAAGCCTTTGCCAAACGCACCCAATTTGGTCTTCTCGGCTTTCGACGAGCCGCCCTTGGCATTCTGGATTGCCTTTACAAGTCAACGAACTCGGTGTGTACATTGTCTCGTGCCTGGAAATGCTGCGCTGCCCTGCGTCTGAGCTGTTTGGGCAATTGTTTGTGCGGCGCACAGCCAAGGGGCTTCAGACAAACATTGGCTGTAGTACCATAGACCGGATACAGCTAGAAGGCTGCACAAAAATGTAACGTTGCAGCATCCACAATGGCGGCAATCTAAGCGCGCTAACACTCAACGGACACACGTGTTAACATTTCATATGCATAGCTCATCCAGGAAGCGCCTCGCCCAGCAGGCACACGCTGTGTGCCCACAGAAACTAGAAGCCATCAGCATGCAGTTTGCACATGGACATCACAAGACGGCAATGATCTTTGGAGCACCCATCCCCCAAACCGTCCCCCCTAATTACGTCGCACGGAACGCGCCTGCATCGCTTGAAGCGAGAGCTAAAGCCAAAAGGCTGCACGTGTGTCATCCTCGCGGAAGGCAGTCAGCATTGCCTAGCTATCCAAAACATGCCGGCTTCCTGCACATCAGGCAGGCCAGGGGGAAACTCGCACAGTATGCAAACTGGGGATACCTCTAAAAGGCACGAAGACACGCAGGCCGCCGTGCCCACAGTCTTGGTACCATGACAAAGCCTCAAAGCAACCCAGCACCCTCCCACCAAATAACATCAAACCTGCCAGGCGGGTTTTGCAGGAACCATTTTCCATTCAAGAGACCCCCTGTCAGGTTCCATGTACGTTGGTGGGAGTGTAACTACCATGCTTCCACTTGGGGGCCCGGCAAGTTGCCTTCCCTCGCCTGCGCGGAGAAGCTCAGTTTCCCGTTTGGAGTGATCTGACTTGCCTCTGAAAGTCCTTGAAATGTACCATGATTACAGTTAGGCCCAGTTGTAGAATGCATATTTTGTTGTTTGCTTCACTTTGAGTCACTGGTGAAATGTAAAATGTATCCTAAGTCTACCCCAGATACCAGATCACAGTTGAACATGTCTGCAGGGGTCGGGTGGTTGGCCTTTCTGTTTTCATCGAACTACTCTCAGACTGTCAGCACCTCATTTGCCCCGCCTGCTTGGGAGCTTCTCCGCCTGCGATCACACGTACATTTGAGAAGCGCCAAATCAAGCGCACCAGGCGTGGTTGGTGTCAATCAGGTTGCTGTCAGGATTGGGCCTGCTGTCTGTAGATTGCACGGGTGGGGTAAGACAAGAGCCTACGCACATAGGCCTATGCGGCTGCGGGCGTACGCCCTAACCAGGATTACCAATGCAAGCTGCATGCAGTTCCCTTTTATATAATCCTTTGATTTACTTTGATTGAAAGTCGGTGCTCATTTTAACATGCTTGCAATTAATTACGCTTCAGGTCGAGCTTTGAGCCTGTTTGTACTTGTGTCCCAATATGCTGTAGTATATTTGTAATTAGCCATCATCCCACGTCCTCGCCACATCAATTATGCACAGGCTGCATTTCCAAGAGGAAACCGTGTTTCAAAAGGGGTCAGCCTGCGAGCTTCCGCGTATGTTGGCGGAAGGGTAGATGAAGGAATGCACATTATCTGTCAGACGCGGGCCAATGGCCTTCCGGCGCTGTGGCCGCTGACACTGCCGCTGCAGCGTTGGCTGCGGCAGCGTAGGGGTCGGTGGCCGGGTCCTGGCTGTGGTATCCCTGGTGAATCCACCGAGCCATTGTGGCACACAAGTATATTTGCCATTTGTCTTGGAAGCTTCAACCGTATATGTTTGGAATATTCAAGTGTGTATATGTATACATATACATGTATATATTATGTCCAAGAGAACCTTCCTGGAAAATGAACATGGCGTGAATTGAAAGCTTGGGATTGATGGATGAGCTGTGGGGAATATGACGACGACAACACCCACAAGCGTCCACAAGCGACATGCATTTGTTGATTTACCAACCTACATGGCCTTGCCGGCTTTCGATTGGTGAGCGTAGGCACCCATCAACCTCCCCGTGCACTTAAATCCAGTTAGAGAGAGAGAGAGACATAGAGAGTAATCTCGACTTGCTTTTTGTTGTTTGTGAGAAAGGCATGCAGCCACCTCTGTTGCTGCTCAAACTCGAGCAAGAATGAACAGTAAAGAAGGAATCCACTGCTGGTGGCCGTCAAACGGAAATCAACAGGAAACAAAGTATCCAAACGGGTCCCAAACTATGACACCTTCCCAAATAAACACCCCAGAATCGAGCTCCTGCGTCACCGGCCTCGGGAGTTGCAACATCCAAATATGACAGGCTGCCCACTTCGCCTGTGAAACTTAGATGCCACAAGGATCATGTCAATCCGTTTCACCAAGCCCCGGGCATCACGGGCTCAGGCTGCACCGGCTCAGGCTGCACGGGCTCAGGCTGCACCGGCTGAGGCTGCACCGGCTCAGGCGCCTCCCGAGGCGGCCTCAGCGCTTGACTCAAACGGGAACTGGGCTACTTGTCCAGCTGATGTGCCTTCGAAAATCGAAGGGTACTAGCCTGGAGACAAACACGCAAACACACAATCACGCAAACACATCAACACACAAACACACAAACACACACACACAAACACACAAACACACACACACACACAAACACACACACACACACAGACACAGACACAAACACACAAACACACAAACACACAAACCCACACACACACACACAAACACAAACACACAAACACATAAACACACAAACACACACACACACACGACACAAACACACACACACACACAAACACACACACACACACACACAAACACACAAACACACAAACACACAAACACACAAACACACAAACACACAAACACACAAACACACAAACACACAAACACACAAACACACAAACACACAAACACACAAACACACAAACACACAAACATACAAACACACAAACACACAAACACACAAACATACAAACATACAAATACACAAACACACACACACACAGACACACACACACACACACACAGAAACAGAAACACAGACACACACACACACAGAGAAACACAGACACACACACACACACACACGAGGTCAGTCAAACCTCCAAGCAGATTGTGCAATCCTGTTTGTGTTCTTTCTCCTGAAGAAATCTCTCCTGCGTGTGTCTCGTCTAGGGCACCAGGCTTTGCAGATGAAGGCATCGCCGAGTCCGCAAGTGGCCTTACGCTGACTCTGTTGATGTGGCGAACAACTGTGGCATCCAGCTGGATGACCTGATGGATCCTCAGCAGAGATCTTCCCCGGCAACACCCCTGTCGAGTACTTAAGACCATCCTAGGCTCTGATGGGGACCGTTTGTGCTGCCAAGCCAATTAGCGTACGAATTAGGCTCTTAAGGATTATTGATTGAGCCCAATTGAGCTTAACAATGCTTAAGTACCATCACTTGGACTAATCTAAGCTTAACAATGCTTAAGTACCATCACTTGGACTAATCTAAGGTTTGCTTCATCAGGCTGTTTCACGTTAATTCAGCCCAGGTTGAAGTCTGTTGCGCCAAACGGTGTTGCTAATTGCCGCAACAGGTTCTATTTACTTTCTCCGGCATGATGGCGTTGGCGTCAAGCACTTGAGGCCGGGGAACGTGTCGGGGGGGTTAAGTTTGTTCCGGGAGTCTCAAAGGTCAGGACTTTACATCCCCTACTCTAAGGCACATGCAAGTTGTTCAGCGTCCGAGCCAATTTCGAGCCAGCAAATGCTAGCTTTCGCCCCCACACCCTGTCAAGTAGTGCTCCTTCTGCCCGCACAACCAACGTGCTTCAGCCAGGCAACGATGTATGACCGTTTAAGTCCCAGAAGGCTTAGGGTGGATCTATGTGCAATACTGCTGCGATTTTCTACAGCCTTACAAAACAGCTTGATACCTCGCTTGTGTCACAGGAAGAATTCGAGCGCCCGACGACGCTGACTGCTGCACCACCATGCGCAGGAAGGAGTGGTCGGCCCTGGTTGCCGAAAGAGATGGCACAACTGCACGTAATTAGCCATATCGGAGCACGGCAAAGGCCCAGCCGGCGTAAATTATAAGTAATCTGCGGGTAAACTAGGCTGTTGCTAGCCAAGAACTTCCTGCGAATCTTGGTGGTAAAGCGATAAGTGCAAGTCCAAGCTCAACTTGAAGCTGAGAAACAATGCCTCCGTGCGTGCTTGCGTTTGGAATTCACCATCAACAAACTAAAGTCGAGCTCTTCAAATACGAGTCACCCGTTTCTGATTGGAATGTCACTTTGATCACAAGCTGCATCCTGTTCATTTGGCACGATTTATTTGGTCTTTGAACATCTTTAAGCCCGCTACTTGGAAACAGCAGGTCAACGTGCTTGCGGATTGGTTGCCACACTTTGACAGGGTTAACCTCTGGATACGCACTGTTGCGATGCTTCCTGGCAATGCTACTTGCCCGCCAAGGCAAATGAGAAATGCGGGAAGATGAAGGATGCACAGCGCCCTCCCTGTGCATTGATTAAAGGGATGTCAAGATGCTGCGCCTAGAATTCGCCACGTCTAAAAAACGCCAGCCAGTCACAGTCATTGGAGCTTCGTGAGCGAGGCCTCACTGAAGTCTGCGCCGTTACGAAACACGTTTCAATTCAAGGGCGATTCTGTACATTGTAAACATTTCTGCACTGGATGCATCCACGACCCCCCACCCATGCTCGGGCTAGTACTAGCTCCCTTCACAATTTGTTTCTCTCTGCGAATACTTGCGCGTCTGCGCAAGCTCCCATTTGGGCTCCCCAGCCAAAGCTCAGGTCGCGCCGCACCAGCTAGGCTCACCTTGGGTAGCTGGAAGGTCCGAAATTGCAGGGCGCTTGACCAGAGGGCACTGAAGCAGCAGCTTGCAAAGACTTGGTATGCATACAAAAACCTATGTGCACGTATGTGTAAACATATCCAGCTCGAATGTCGCTCCAGCTCCATGTGCTAAAACTGGAGCAAAACCGGTCCACGCGCTCGCGCAAACCATTCGTGAATGCGCCAAGCACTGCCGGAATTGCGGCTTGTAGGTGGCAATGTGGCAAAGCGGCCCGTGCGAGAAGCGACTGGGGTGCAAAAGCCGGTGCCTCGCATATGGGGTCCTTGAGACCCTAAAACGGTCCCCAAACACAACTTATGTTTCGCGAGGTCCATCGCCAAGTTCGACGCTAATCCAACCCCTTATATGTTCCAGCCAGCACCCCTCGCCGAAGCCAACCCTAAACCAACATCCTGCCATAAACCAACCCTAAACATAGATCCTAAACCAACCCTGAAGCAACCCGAAGCCAACCCTAAACCAGCACAACCCCTAAACCAACCCACCCTGCAACCCTTACCCTTAACCCCAACCCTATCCCTAAATCAACCCTAACCAACCCTAAGCTCTATATAACCCCAAACCAACCCACAAAGACCCTAAACCAACTCAACCACACCGCAACCACACCCCAACCACCCATCCACCCCACCCTACCCCCACAGGGGGGGGGGGGTTCACGGCCTGGAACATATATTGTGTTTATACAAGGACCTTTCGGACGACTGCTAGAGCTACAGCAGTTGTTTGCTACATGGTTGAATGCACCCGTTCGGCAGCTCATGCTCCAACGGTGCGCATGTGTTTGATCTCAACCACCTATGTGTCGTGGCCCAAGCTCGTTTTGGGGCATATTCCTAGCCGCTGTTGCACCTAAATCACCACGTTACCCCAACAATGTGTCCGCACAGCCTTCACTAGTCTTCTGTAAATAAAGGCAGTCGCTCACAAAAAGTACCCTAACCTGAAGATTTGGTTGCAGCAACAAACCCCGGCCCTGCCTGTGCTGCTGCGCCTCCCAGCTGGAGCACACCTACCACCTGCCGGACTTGCGGTATCTTCGGCTCTGGGGACCAGCTCTTGAACTTGCTGGTTGTGAGGAAGGCGTGAGCTTTCATCACGGACTCTGGCCATAATTTGGAGCAAATGGGGAAGATATAAGATGTGGGTGTGGGTCAAAATTAAGCCACTGAAAAAACCGCAGGATTTAGTCCTGGTATCCATTTACCAGAGCTTCTTCCAGTTTGGGGTTGCTCTATGTTTGACAACCACACCCATACAAACCGTGGGTTGAAGCCGACACTCACAACGACTCTGCGAGAATGTCCGCGCCTCAGAGAGGCTGGTTACTCCCAAGCGCTGTAGAGCAGCTTGATACCGCGTTGTCTCCACCTGAAATTGGTTTCAACACGGAGCCACTGGCCAAATTTGGGTGTGAAGCTAAGTGGGGACCCTTTGGTGGACATCATTTGGGTGGGGATTTGTGTCCACCAACCACTTTGTTGGTTGGTTTCCTATTCAAATTCATAGCCATTTGAATCCATAGGCCCTACGGCCATGGTCATGAACATCCCAGAGGCTGGAAGCATTTGATTTGGCTTAACCAAAAATGCCCCCAAAATCCTGGAGAAACCGGACACTTCTGTCCTTTCCACGCACAGCTCACATCACCGCGTCTTGCCCACGTGTTGAGGCAACCACAGAGCTGCTCGTCGGCTGATACCTGTCAGAATGAAAGCGGCGACGGTGTGTTGCTCATCAGGTGTTGCCACAAACTGTCTTGACAAAACAAACCTGGAAAAACGATTTCACCCGAGCAACACCTGCTGCCTAATGAAAGCTGAAAGAACTTCCAGTCAAACGGGCAAACCCATGCCACCATAGCCTTCCCAAACCCAGAAGTCACACTTTGTTAGTGACAGCACAATACTTTATCAGGTGGACGAGGGTATCCCAGTCAGGCTGGCTTAAAGGAAAGACAGAAAGACAAGAAAACCGAAGCCCAGTTTTGGAGTCCGGATTCCTACTTCGACGCATACCCACACGGCCTTGGTGCAGGCGTCGCTGTGCCGCGAAAGACCAGGCCCTCGCAGGCCGTATCCAGCCACCTCGGCTGATTCACCGGCTTGCCATCTGCAGCCGGGGCAATGCCACGTGATCAACTTGTGACCCGACCAGCCCTTTACCAAAGTTGGTTGAAAACATGTCCTGGCTTCCTGGCAGCCCTGTCGAGCATGAGGCAGCGTGTATCAAATTCTGTCCGCACGGCCAAAGTGAAACCAACTTGGTCTAGCTGTTCTGGCCTTTGGCCATGCACCATGGCTCAGCAAAGGCAACTAATGTGATACCACGAGTGGCTGTGACCATGATTGCCATTGCACATTCGCGAGAGGAATAAGATTCCATTCAGTTTGACTCCCAACCCGATAAGGTCCAGGCCTCTTCATCCGCTGAGGCATCTCCTATGCAATCTGCACATTCAGCTACCCAACGGTGCAAAAGGAATCAAACTGTTCGAATGATGATCTAGTAACATGCACAACACTGTCCTGATTTTGCATGAAACCTATCCGTCGAATAGTGGCAACCTCCGATTGATCAATGCCCTGGTTTGCGGGCCCGGACAGAGACCCTCGAACAAAATTGAGTTTCTCCGGTTGTGAAACACAAATAAAGATCAAATGAAAGAAGAAAGCTTAACGGCAAACTTAGATCAATGTCTCAAAGGAAGCTCCAGCAATAGCAAATCTAAAGCAAACTCAATGTTGGGCAATCGATTCTAAATCAAATTGTGTGGCTCCCGTAAAACATGTTTAGGGTGTGAGCACCACTGCGATCCTAGATTCTGATGCCAAACGATGCGTGGCCAAGCATGAGCCACACCTACAACCCAAGAACGACGTTGCCTTGGAAGGGTCATACTGCTCGCACCAATGCGTGAACGCAGGAAAAGGGATAGGGACTGGCAACCTTTCATGCAAACATTGCAGGTGCATTTGTTCGAAGGTATGCCCGTTTTATTTGCCTGCGCTCACACTCAATAACTAGTAGCGGGCATCACTCCTTGCTGTGGATTCCTTGGACCGAGCACGTATGGCGGTCATGATTCAAATCCGAAGCTATTTGAAAATGAGGACAGTGGACCTGTTGCAAAAGTCGCGGCACGCCTGCATTATAAGTATACTATAAATCGTGCTGCAATTAGTTGTTCCTCTTTACAAAGGCGTAGGGTAACCCCAATCCAGCCTGGTCTATGACGTCCATTTCATCGTGAAAGTGTAACACAGCAAGCAACCAACAACCGCAAAACAAATAAAACAAACCACCGAGGCGCAAATCCCCGCCTCGACATTGGGCGCCATAGTAACGAAGGACAAGCGGCCGCCAGGCCTTGATTGATGCAAAGAGCTTAGCGCTCGTTGAAAAAGAACAGGCCCTTGCTCCGAGATCTGTCGAATGCCATGGCCGGATGCAGCACGCTCAACAACATTCGCGTGGCCGTGAAACTCACACAAATTTGATGGTGATCAACCTGAGACAACTTCTTCTCAGCAAGTATAATCGAATTTGGGGGATGACTAATTCAAACGAAGAAGCCTGTGCGGGGAAAACTGTGTGTGTGTGTGTGTGTGTGTGTGTGTGTGTGTGTGTGTGTGTGTGTGTGTGTGTGTGTGTGTGTGTGTGTGTGTGTGTGTGTGTGTGTGTGTGTGTGTGTGTGTGTGTGTGTGTGTGTGTGTGTGTGTGTGTGTGTGTGTGTGTGTGTGTGTGTGTGTGTGTGTGTGTGTGTGTGTGTGTGTGTGTGTGTGTGTGTGTGTGTGTGTGTGTGTGTTTGTGTGTGTGTGTGTTGTGTGTGTTTGTGTGTTTTGTGTGTTTGTGTGTTTGTGTGTGTGTGTTTGTGTGTGTTTGTGTGTTTGTGTGTTTTGTGTGTTTTGTGTTTGTGTGTGTTGTGTGTTTGGTGTTTTGTGTGTTTTGTGTGTTGTGTGTTGTGTGTTTGTGTGTTGTTGTTTGTGTGTGTGTGTTTGTGTGTGTGTGTTGTGTGTGTGTGTGTGTGTGTGTGTGTGTGGTTGTGTTGTGTGTGTGTGTGGTGTGGTGTTGTGGTTTGTGTGTGTGTGTGTGTGTGTGGTGTGGTGTGGTGTGTGTGGTGTGTGTGTGTTGTGTGTTGTGTGTGTGTGTGTGTGTGTGTGTGTGTGTGTGTGTGTGTGTGTGTGTGTGTGTGTGTGTGTGTGTGTGTTTGTGTGTTTGTGTGTTTGTGTGTTTGTGTGTGTGTGTGTGTGTTTGTGTGTTGTGTGTGTGTGTGTGTGTTGTGTGTTGTGTGTTGTGTTTGTGTGTTTGTGTGTGTGTGTGTTTGTGTGTTTGTGTGTGTGTGTGTTGGTGTGTTTGTGTGTTTGTGTGTTGTGTGTGTGTTTGTGTGTTTGTGTGTTTGTGGTGTTTGTGTGTTGTGTTTTGTGTGTTTGTGTGTTTGTGTGTTGTGTGTGTTTTTGTGTGTTTGTGTGTTGTGGGTGTTTGGTGTGTTTTGTGTGTTTGTGTTTGTGTGTTTGTGTGTTTGTGTGTTGTGTTGTGTGTGTGTGTTGTGTTTGTGTTTGTGTTTGTGTGTTTGTGTGTTTGTGTGTTTTGTGTGTTTGTGTGTTTGTGTGTTTGTGGTGTTGTTTGTGTGTTTGTGTGTTTGTGGGTTTGTGTGTGTTTGTGTGTTTGTGTGTGTTGTGTGTTTGTGTGTTTGTGTGTGTGTGTTTGTGTGTGTTGTGTGTTTTGTGTTGTTGTGTGTTTGTGTGTTGTGTGTGGGTTTGTTGTGTGTTTGTGTGTTTGTGTGTTGGTGTTGTGTGTGTTGTGTTGTTGTGTGTGTGTGTGTTTGGGTGTTGTGTGTGTGTGTGTGTGTGTGTTGTGTGTTGTGTGGTTTGTGGTGTGTGTGTGTGTTGGTGTGTGTGTGTGTGTGTGTGTGTGGTGTGTGGGTGTGTGTGTGTGTGTGTGTGTGGTGGTGTGTGTGTTGTGTGGTGTGTGTTGGGTGTGTGTGTGGTGTGTGTGTGTGTATGTGTGTGGTGTGTGGTGTGGTGTGTGTGTGTGTGTGTGGTGTGTGTGTGTGTGTGTTGTGTGTTTTGTGTGTTTGTTTTGTGTGTGTGTGTGTGTGTGTGGTGTGTGTGTGTGTTTGTGTGTTTGTGTGTTTGGTGTTTGTGTTTGTGTGTTTGTGTGTTTGTGTGTTTGTGTGTGTGTGTGTGTTGGTGTGGTGTGTGTTTGTGTGTGTGTGGTGTGTGTGTGTGTTAGTGTGTGGTGTGTGTGTGTGTAGTGTGTGTGTGTGGTAGATTGTGTGTAGTCAACAACTTTCGTTCAAGCATCTCGTAGGCTGACTCATAGGCTAGTTTGAGTGCACGGTGGAAATCCGTTGGGAAGGGACAACATGTTGAATCCCCATTTAAGTAAACAATGGCCGAACAGCAACTGCTTGTCACTGAACAAAAGGGACGGCCTGTTTAGTAAAGCGCGAAGCTTGTGGGGCAGGCAGCTGCGCCAAGGCGGTCTTCAAGAGGAATGGTTAGCACAACCACAACGCCTGAGGGCTTACGTCGTACGTATAATAGGATGCAGGAAATGAAACGTAAACCGGGGACCCATAGACACCGTGTCAGAAAAATCCCTGGAAGGCCATGGTCAAGGCTTGCTTCCTGGGGCTGCCCAGCAGTACGTGCTGCGCGGCGCCCTGCAGGATCTGCTGCAAGACACGCTCGCCTCGAAACCGCGCGCGATCCGCACTTCCGAGCCATCCGCTGACGAGAGTTGACTTCTTTCAGCGAACGCTGACCCAGCGCAAACCAAAACACACCGTGGTGAACCTGGTGGAGGAGCCGTGTCTAGCGTGGTGGCTCAGCATATGAGAAGAATTGACCGAAAGTAACTCCATCAAAAGTCTTGGTTCGAGATCTGCCACTTATTTCTCAATTTCAGGGGGGGTGCTGTTGGGTTCCCTTGTAAAGCCAACCAAAAACCCACTTCCACCCCCTCCCAGCCCCAGCCGCCCCGCCTGAGTCGCCGCCGTTGCCGAACATGGCCCCAGCGCCGGAGGCAATGCCCTGGCGGTCATGGCTCGTCTTTTTCTTGGTGCCCCTTTTGTGGCGGTTTGAACGGACAACTGCCAGGAACACCACCAATTTGGGGGGGTCCTCTAAATAAAAGGCACACTCAAAATCCGAAATCCCAGCGCCGTTGGATTTGAATCGCCCGCAAGGCCTCTTCCACAAAAATCCATGCCTGCATTCCATCGGTGAGGTTCCGACCATTGTTGGTGTGGCCATGGGATTTGGATGTGGCGCGTTTGGACAAAATAATGGGGTGTCTTGCCAAGGGCCAGCCAGGGTTGTCTTTCTGCAGAAACATAACCTCGAAGTTGGGTCGGGATCCAACAAAGCCCCAGGCTTGAACACCCATCATGCATGCTCCCCCCCAAAGAGACAAAGGAAGCTCAAGAAGCCGCGTAGCAACTCGCCCTAAACAACTTGACCTCTTCATGACTAGTACAGTCAATCATGCCGCAAAGTGACCTCACTTAGCCCGCGGGCTCTTTGCTCCATCAAGACCCAAGGCAGCTCTGCTCAAGAACCTCTCGTTTCTGAGGCGATTGGTCTTTTCACCGCAAGCCTTCGCTCCTTTCAGGCCACTCCCCTTTGTTTCGCGCGCACACCGCCCTCCCCGCGCACTCGTCTTCCCGGTCCTGGGGGTTCGGCACGAAGGGCGGGTTGGCCAACACGGCATCGAAGCGCCTCACGGCTTCGGGGCCCACTGGCCACGCTCACAAGGCGCATTTCATGTGTGCACCGCAAGTGCCTCCCCTGCGGAAGAGCGTTGTAGAGGTTGCCCTCATAGATCCCCTCCGCCTGTCAGTTTTGCAGCATGGGGTGCGCCCCGTCTGCATGAAAACGCAGACAATAAGTTTGGGCAGCTGCCTCGTTCTTGAAAACTTGACTTGCTGAGAGGGCTTGCAGTCACGAAGAAACTCAGCAGCCCCCACAAAAAGAGCAAAACCCTAGCTAGGGAGCGATCCCAAAAAAGCAAGCACGCATGAACGCAGCCCTGGTCGCTTCATTCTGCATGTGCACAGCTGCGGGTCGTGAGGGGTGTAGCGTTCAACCAAGCTCACAGGTAGGTGTTTGCTCCCAGCATTCAGGGAAGTTTGATCCATCCTGACTAGTGATCTTGTCCATCCTCAGCATGAACTGCAACTCTTTGCCTTCTGCGTCATGCAATTTAGTGCGAGGTTGAAGCGGACGAAGTGCGGGGACCGAGGATTCAGGTCCTGCGCATCGCAGAGTTGCTCAAAAGGCTGTGGTGAGCTTCGTGTTGAAAGAACACCCAGGCAACTCGCAACCAAACCTTGATGTTTGCAAAGCACTTCAGCAGGGACGCTCCAAGCAGATCTCTTGGGAGCAGCTTTGAAGGTTGAACTACGTGCATGCCGCTTGAAGCAACACAGGCAACAGAACCCTGCATCACCGCTCCACGAAGCTGGCGCGCTCGGCGTAGCTGCGCAGGGCCACCAGGCCCTGCACCCCGCTGCCACAGCAAATGTCCAGCACCGAAGAGACCTGACGCTGCGCACGTGCGCAAGATGAGGCTTGCAAATGCCCTGACGGAGGCCACCTTTGGGCGTACACTTGGACTTCCGGCCATGTATGAGTTATTGTCGGGAAAACAGAAAGCAAGCGCCGCTTGATGTCTCTTGTACATGGGTCAGTGCAGCTTGAGGCAATCCTAGGGGATAGCTAGCATGGGAAGCATGCAAGCGACATCAAGGCAGATTCCCATGCCTTTAGAGACTGCGGAGTCCAAAGCACGTAACATGCGCCGAAACCTTACGAAAAACAAATGGTTTCATCATGCAGCCTTCCAAAAATCGCTGCCAAAACTGAAGAACATACAAGCAGCATCAGGGCAACGCATGGCAACGGGGTTCCCATGCCGTCAGAGAATTGTGGTGTCATGGCACGCGACGTGCTCCAACACCTTACGAGAATCAAACGGTTTCATCATGCAGCCTTCCCGCCGAGCCTAAACATACAAGCAACATCAATGCAACACATGGCAACGGAGTTCCCATGCCGTCAGAGAATTGTGGTGTCATGGCAGGCGACGTGCTCCAACACCTTACGAGAATCAAACGGTTTCATCATGCAGCCTTCCCGCCGAGCCTAAACATACAAGCAACATCAATGCAACACATGGCAACAGGGTTCCCGTGCTGTCAGAGAATTGTGGTGTCATGGCACTCCACGTGCTCCAACACCTTACGAGACTCAAATGGATGCATCATACAAGCAACATCAAGGCAACGCATGGCAACGGGGTTCCCATGCCGTCAGAGAATTTTGTGGTGTCATGGCACGCGACGTGCTCCAACACCTTACGAGAATCAATCGGTTTCATCATGCAGCCTTCCCCAGTCGCTGCCGAGCCTAAAAATACAAGCAATATCAAGGCAACGCATGGCAACGGGGTTCCCATGCCGTCAGAGAATTGTGGTGTCATGGCACACGACGTGCTCCAACACCTTACGAGAATCAAACAGTTTCATCATGCAGCCTTCCCCAGTCGCTGCCGAGCCTAAACATACAAGCAACACATGGCAACGGGGTGTCCATGCCGTCAGAGAATTGCGGTTTCATGGCACTCGACGTGCTCCAACTCCTTACGAGACTCAAATCAAGGCAACGCCTGGCAACGGGGTTCCCATACCGTCAGACAATTGTGGTGCCACGGCACGAGACGTGCTCCCACACCTTACAAGAACCAAATGGATTTATCATGGAGCCTTCCAAAAATCGCTGCCAAAACTGAAGAACATACAAGCAGCATCAGGGCAACGCATGGCAACGGGGTTCGCATGCCGTCAGAGAATTGTGGTGTCATGGCACGCGACGTGCTCCAACACCTTACGAGAATCAAACGGTTTCATCATGCAGCCTTCCCGCCGAGCCTAAACATACAAGCAACATCAATGCAACACATGGCAACAGGGTTCCCGTGCTGTCAGAGAATTGTGGTGTCATGGCACTCCACGTGCTCCAACACCTTACGAGACTCAAATGGATGCATCATACAAGCAACATCAAGGCAACGCATGGCAACGGGGTTCCCATGCCGTCAGAGAATTGTGGTGTCATGGCACGCGACGTGCTCCAACACCTTACGAGAATCAATCGGTTTCATCATGCAGCCTTCCCCAGTCGCTGCCGAGCATAAAAATACAAGCAACATCAAGGCAACGCATGGCAACGGGAGTCCCATGCCGTCAGAGAATTGTGGTGTCATGGCACACGACGTGCTCCAACACCTTACGAGAATCAAATGGATGCATCATGCAGCTTTCCCCAGTCGCTGCCGAGCCTAAACATACAAGCAACATCAAGGCAACGCATGGCAACGGGAGTCCCATGCCGTCAGAGAATTGTGGTGTCATGGCACACGACGTGCTCCAACACCTTACGAGAATCAAATGGATGCATCATGCAGCTTTCCCCAGTCGCTGCCGAGCCTAAACATACAAGCAACATCAAGGCAACGCATGGCAACGGGAGTCCCATGCCGTCAGAGAATTGTGGTGTCATGGCACACGACGTGCTCCAACACCTTACGAGAATCAAATGGATGCATCATGCAGCTTTCCCCAGTCGCTGCCGAGCCTAAACATACAAGCAACATCAAGGCAACGCACGGCAACGGGGTTCCCATGCCGTCAGAGAATTGTGGTGTCATGGTATTCGACGTGCTCCAACACCTTGCGGGAATCTAATGGATGCATCATGCAGCTTTCCCCAGTCGCTGCCGAGCCTAAAAATACAAGCAACATCAAGGCAACGCATGGCAACGGGGTTCCCATGCCGTCAGAGAATTGTGGTGTCATGGCACGCGACGTGATCCAACACCTTACGAAAATCAATCGGTTTCATCATGCAGCCTTCCCCAGTCGCTGCCGAGCCTAAACATACAAGCAACATCAAGGCAACGCGTGGCAACGGGGTTCCCATGCCGTCAGAGAATTGTGGTGTCATGGCCTGCGACGTGCTCCAACACCTTACGAGACTCAATCGGTTTCATCATGCAGCCTTCCGCAGTCGCTGCCGAGCCTAAAAATACAAGCAACATCAAGGCAACGCATGGCAACGCATGGCAACGGGGTTACCATGCCGTCAAAGAATTGTGGTGTCATGGTATTCAACGTGCTCCAACACCTTACGAGAATCAAATGGATGCATCATGCAGCTTTCCCCAGTCGCTGCCGAGCATAAAAATACAAGCAACATCAAAGCAACGCATGGCAACGGGGTTACCATGCCGTCAAAGAATTGTGGTGTCATGGCACTCGACGTGCTCCAACACCTTACGAGGCTTCTTCCCGAATGATTTGCACACCCTATCATTCGCTGTTTGTCCTACCAAGCCGCAAAGGTCATTTCCCTGGTAGCCATTTTGCTGTGGATGCCAGCTGGCCGCCAGCACAGTCTCCAGGAACGACTCCAACTCTGGTCCATTGCCAATCATTGAAGCGGACAAACAATTGCCCTTCCGCAGCCGTCTAAATCTCTCCTTTAAAGCTTGCAACATCGGCCACTCGCGAGCTCTTGGCGCCCGCGCTGGATGCCGGGGCGCTGCTGCCGCCAATGCCAGCGAGTCCTGGAAGAACAATGCACGAAGCGCTCGGTCGCATCGGAAGTCGCTTGGAGTTTTCCCGTCCCAGGGAAATGAATTGCAATATGGCCATGGGTCAAAATCCTGTACCTCCAGTCATCCCAATCCCCACTAAAATAGACTAAAATGAGTGGTGCACCTACCCCAAAATGGTACCATTGGATGTGACCCACAGCCATATGACACTCTTGGCCAGACTCCTTCAAGTTGCACAGACATCAGAGGCCTTTTGCCAGGCCAAGCCCCAAGATTCAGGGTGTAGCGCTTTGCAGCCCCAGTTTGAGACACACAGACACCAAAGCCCAACAGCGGGAATGCATCAAGGGCTTTGACCACGTTCCCTGGAGACAATGTACATTGCTTGAAAGGATTTGTTGGCGGAAAAGCGACAGTTGCCCACTGTGGCATCGGAACGACACAAAATCAAAAACAGGTCATTTGGCCGGTAGCTGCAAACCACTCACTCAAACTGAACACGAGAAAAGCTACCCCTCAAGCATGTGGCTCTTCTGTTGATCCGCACATCAATGCTGGATGCCACAGGCAAAAGCCAAGTCGCAGAAATCAATGCCTGGCCACATGAAGTTGAAGGTCCGACCCTTGCCTAAAGACTGGCCTTCATCTGCGTGGGGCTCTTGCAATCATCGAGATCTTGCGCGTTTGCGGAAGCCTCGCCAAGTCCTAGTAACATGAACATCGTGAACACCAGGATGCTGAGATGTTTCTTGCATTCCATGCTTCCTTCACCAGTCTGATACGTCCCTCCCAAAAGGCGTTCAGGGAAGAGAGCCAAGGGACTTGCACAAAGTTCAACTGTGCTTCTTGGTGAGGAAACCCAACATTTCCCCAGACCTTGAACAAACAACTCAAAGGGGCAAAGGTGGTTTCAGCGCAAGCCGCTCGCTTTTTGCCCCTTCCTCGGAGATGTACATCACTGGTTCCAAGCCCTCAGAGGAGAAGGTCTGCTCAAAATCCGTGGCGATCAGCAGGTCCTGCCGAGCGCCGGTTTTCAGACCCCGATTCCTACCGCCAGGAAAACGGAAGGCATCCTGGAACCCATTTGTGAGAAGCCGTGGGTCACCCAAACTTGGTCAGAATTATTTAGTCAAAAGGAATCACCTGTGTGCCCTGTTTGCAGAGAGGGGACAATCCAAAAAGCAAGATTCCAACCTGCACAAAACATGAGTCCCACGAAGAGGCATGTGTATTGACCTCGCTTGAACGGGGAAGCAAGGACGATCCCTCCTAATAGGTAGCTCCTTTGTAGCTTGCATTTCCTTGCCGGTCTGGGCTCAGCTGACTGAGTGTCCCTTGTCTCTTTCCTCCTCCACCGGCCAGATTGCCACGTTGGACATGACAAAAAAGGCACCACAGCCTCGCCAATCATACGCACCTCTCAGAATGTTATCTAGAAATTTCCAGTTTCACAAGATGCACACTTGTCCCTGGTTATCATCGAACAAAGAAACAACGAGGCATCACTGAGATGTGCGCGCTGAAAACACTTGAAACACATAGTCTCCCTCTGCTTTTCTCCCACATGGGTATTGCAATGGAGAGGAACTGATCCTTCTAGGACAAGCACCTGCAACACGCAAAGAAGGCTGGCCCCGGAATTCCGAGTGCGGCACTGAAGCTGTTTGCATCGATGGCTGCCATGGCCTTGACAGCGTCGCCAAATCACGGCAGCTACAGCAGCGCTACAACCCTTGCTTGGCCGGGTGATTGAACTTAGTATGCTGCACCAGCAGTGACTGATGCAAGTTACCTTTCCAGTGGCTGGTGATACCCGATGGAACAAACAATCAGGGTTGAGTGAGAGTGGCCATGGCAGTCCAGCAACACGCCCCAACCTTCCTTTTGTCATCTGGTCAGAAACCCCCTCCGGGAGAGCTCGTGGCTTCAACCCAAGTCTACTAAAGAACAGCAAGCCTCATGTTTGCTAATACCTGTCTGGAATTCCGTCGGGCCACTGGCCACACGGCAATTTATGGCAAGTAGTAGTCTGATAGAATATGTCCGCCCACCTGGGTCACTGGAATAAGGATTCCGACCCAGAACATGGAGCAATCATTGATCAATCCATGACGCCTAGACAGCTTCCTGCTCCGGATGCTCCCATGCCCTTTGATCCCTTCTCATGGCACCTCCTCAGGTTCCACCATGCGACAGCCATTGCCGGCCAATGCAGTCACGGCCTCCCAAGCTCGCAATAAAGCAACCACATGTTGAACCAATAGCTTGTATTCCCCAGGGAATGAATGCAACTGTTGAGCTCATGGTGTTTGTACACATCTATCTCATATCCTTCATCTAGACTGTCAGGGTTCCAACAAAGAGTCCAAGGATGCGGTGGGCGGTAGAAGTAAACACAACGCGACATGAGACATGCATTAAGAGCAAGTGGGATCTGACTCCAACCAACACATCAAGTGGTCATCGTTGCGTAAATCAACGGCTGTTGGAAACACACAGCACCATTCGTCGAACTGAACCATCAGCACCCAGCCTTTCAAAGCATGAGCTAAAGATTAACCTTCTACCAACAACGACTCCCCCGGCTCATCCCACAATGGGATGATAGCCTTGTCCCGCGTGGGGTTTGCCAAAGCCAGTCCAGTCCCTCAAGCAACCTTCCGCAAAAAGGCTTAGAGATCGGCGCTATCGCCACCGAGCTGTTGGCTCCCGGCACTGAAGGCCCCAGAGACCGATACAGCTCTGAAAGATTCTTCAAATTTACAGGTAGCCCGGATTACAATCCGTTCACCAGGTTTCGATGGTTCACCAAAGTCGATTTCAGCAAGATTTTATTCTTCCAAGATCTCAGCCTGAAAACGCGGCAGGCGCACCCGCAATTGCAGCAAGAGCTTGGTGCTCTCTGGCGTGAAGAGCTGGCAAAGGCGTGACAGCCTGAAAGGTGGCTGCTGCTGGAGAACCTTAATTTTGTTGCATTTTGTTTGCACCTCCTCAGTAAAATGAAAGATGCTTTGATCGCATCCAACGGAACAGTAAGTGGGCACTCCAAGAAACACTACTTCTGATTCAATATGATGGGGTACCTATTGCGCAAGTGCTCTGCAAGTTGTCAGCACAGCCCAAGCATGCCCTGCATATAGGGCATACCGCAAACTATGATTGTACGCAACAATTTGCAGCTGTGTGAGATCAACTACCGTGAAATCAAATGACTTGTTCCGCGGCGCTGCCACGAGTTTTCTCCATGTGCGCTCCACGAGCCCCTGGCGGGAGCACGCGATGCAGCAGGAAGATACGCACCAAGTCCTCGGATCAACCGCTTCCAAACGAGCTGAAGTCTTTTCTCAACCACTTCCTTGTGCCGAGACGCCACCAAGTCCACTGGGATCTTTGGCCCAGAACCCTGGCGCGGCATGGAGCCAATGGAATCACTGGGCTCGCTTGTTGTATGTTGTTGCAGGGCTCAGCGGCTGACTCAACTGCAACATCAAGGGCCTAGGCCAGCCAAAATCCACGTACCCCAAGCTGACCTCAAGTCTCGGCCTCCTTCATGGGGTTTGCCTCCTCTACATTCTCAAGGAGGCCCTGCTCTAGCTGGTCAGCTCGGCCTTAGAGTTGGCCCACATCGACGTCTAATGTTCTCCCACCCGAGGAACACTTGCATGGAAGTAACACGTAGTGTAATTTTTCCTACCAGATGACTCGAGGCTACTGGCAGCGCACCCTGAGAATCAAGATCGGCCGACCCCTCGCACAATGGCGCATGACAGTCCTCAATGGTCTCAATACTCAATAATTATGCTTGAGTGCGAAAATCCATCTTGGAATGCCAAAATGGCACCTGCCTTCAAAGGCGGCAACATGTGGGCCCAAGTCTGAAGCGTGGCAGCTTTTTGTTTGAACTTGTTCATCGACCGTCACTGGTTGCCTTTCCGGTCTAGCGGAACAAAGCGAGCACATCGTGCTCAGCATTTGACAATGCATCTGCAACTGATTCCCGAGGGCCCAGCTTTCCACGAAGATGAACTCGGACATTGAGCTTGCCTTGGAGATGGGATCATGCTCAATGTTTGGCAAAATCGAAAGAGCGGGGCGCGAAACTTTTGCTTCTACTGGCTGCTGGTTGCGCAAAGCCTTCCACTAGCTCGCAAATCGCAACTGTTCAGCTAAGTGTAGCACGCAAAGTATCCTCAAACTAGTTGAAGCGACAAACTAGAGCTTCCGCGGAGCTTCATGCCGGCAAATGCTTAATAAACCCCCTTTGACTAAAGACGCCCGGTTTTCCCAGCCGCCTGCCAGCCAATACTACTTTAAAGGCACGCACATGGTTTGGCCAAACGACCCCCTCTTAATTTTTGGGGGCACCTCCTAAAACCCCCCCTCTGACTAAGGACGTCCCTTTCTGGCCCTGGAAAATTCAACATGCAACTTTCTTTCACTTTCGTATTGCAGTCCTATCGGCTACACAGGGGTCTGCACAGGAAAGGACCTGAGAGAACTGGCCAGGGCCAAAGGGGACCCTCCGTGTTCCAAATCCTTGTCGACCTTAGGGGGGGTATATTCATCATGTTCCCGGATTGCGTGTTGCTAGTTTTACTAACAAACCTATAGCCTTACTCAAGCTTGCGCGACTCACATGGTTTCTTACGCGGAAGCATGCGACAAAGAGCCGGGTCTCAACTCTTCACTTGCGGGTTTGGGGCGCTAATGGGCTCAAGCTCTGAGACCAAAAAGCTGCGAACTTGTTCGAATCCAAAACGCCTTTGCGAGCGTTTGCAAACTCAATGCTTAACAAATGTGCGCGATGGCACATTTACGCTTACTAAGAAAGAGCCAGCCGGCCTTATGCGACAGTGGGTAGGCGAGGCCTTGCGAACCCAGGCAGTTACATAGATCTTGCCCTCGTTGCGCACTTTTGGGACTCCAAGCATCGCCGAATCGCACCCGGGTTCAGTGCGAAGCACGGCATTCTAACTACTTCCATGTCCGTTATGGTCGTTGCACATGGGGAGGCGGCTGCCAACCACACATACACACACACACACACACTGCACCCAGGCTTCAAATCAAAAACCATATTATATCAAAGTTTCAGCCGAAGCGGAACAGTTACTCCGATTGCGAGTCAACAGGCAACAAAAAGTGCCTAGGTGCAAAACTGCCACCCTGAAGCCTGTCAGATCATGATCTCTCATGTGTTTGCCCTGTTATTGAGCAGCTGAGACGCGGACCTTTGTACCCTTCAATATGGTCTCAGCGCAATACCTCGGCGGAAGGGCCAAGCAAAGCTGTGATCGCCACTTCATTCGCAATGCGGGAACGGCTGATGCCAACAGGCCGTACTGCATCACCCGACGCATCCTGGCTCCTACCTTCAAAGCAAAGAAGCACATCACTGCGAGAAAGCAATACCTCGGCGGAAGGGCCAAGCAAAGCTGTGATCGCCACTTCATTCGCAATGCGGGAACGGCTGATGCCAACAGGCCGTACTGCATCACCCGACGCATCCTGGCTCCTACCTTCAAAGCAAAGAAGCACATAAACTGCGAGAAAGAAAAAGAAACACCACATTGACGAAAAACTAGCACCTTCACCCATGCTCCTAAAACAACAAATGAGCGCGGGCGTGGGGTGTGGGTGCGAGTCTGTGTGTGTGTGTGTGTGTGTGTGTGTGTGTGTGTGTGTGTGTGTGTGTGTGTGTGTGTGTGTGTGTGTGTGTGTGTGTGTGTGTGTGTGTGTGTGTGTGTGTGTGTGTGTGTGTGTGCGTGCGTGCGTGCGTGCGTGCGTGCGTGCGTG